ATCCGTCACGTTTTATTGGAATGGATCCCCCCTCCCCCACCCTCCCTTAATTAATTCTTAGTTACGCCACTGATTGTACCTTCTAATCGCAAAATGCAGAAGGGCTCACAGAATGATCAGAGGCAATTTTTTTCTTGTAAAAAAAATAAAATCTTCAAAATGAGGTGAGTACTCGAGTTCTGAATTTTGTCAACCATGGACAGCTATCGACGTGCATGTTTTGTAAATTGATATAGCTAAATATCAGTGCAATCTCATTATTTTTGTGGCAAAATAAATACAGCAGATAACTTCCGAAGATCACCTCCGGCAGCGTTCAATTTCCGAGTAAGTGGATTAATTAATCATGATAAGATTTCGATATTTCCGCCACAGGATGTTTTGTGCTTTTGCTCAAATCATCGGACGGCTTACAGTGAAAAGTGAATGCGAGCAGGGTTCTTGAGGTCTAGAGAGGGGGAATAGACGTTCTGCCGCCTCTATGTCTGAAATCGGGCGAGAATCAGTTTTCGAAGGAAAAGATTAGCAAAGGCCGACGCGAGGCGACTTTCCGACGCCAACTCGGACAGGATGAAGTCTGCAGGTGCAGAGACCCTAGCACGGGCCAATCACAATCTGTGTTGATCGGGAGAAGTCAACCGCGCCCCCCCTCCACGGCGATCATATCGTGCACTCGTGCAGATTCATCACTCATTTCGGCACAGTCCGGTGGTCGCATGAGTTGGATGCATCGTCTCGCGTCCGGTCGGAGTGAAGTCCTCATGGCTGCAAGTAATTTTCCTTTCATGAACGGTTTTAAGACTTTCAGAACTCTTACATCGTACCGCGTTATACTTACCTCGTTTGTTTCGCGAGAACTCTCCAGTGTGTGTGGAAACGATCGTGTGAAATTACTCGTCGCTTGAATTGATTCGAGTCCTTCGTTTTCTCGAAATGTATTGACTTGTGCCCGGTGCTTGAGTGAATTGAATGAGGCAACTGATGCCCAAAATTTCCATCGACTCTCGTAGTTTCATGTCGTTTCGTCGTTTTCGAACTTTATTTGCGCCGTGCGTGGCTCGGTACCTCGTGTGCTCCGCGAAAACTCTTTAGCAATGTGCGTGAAAACGACCGTGCCTATTAAATTGTCGTTGAATTAGATGATGGCCGCCTTAGAGTGTTTCTCTTTTTCTCGAAATTTGTATTATAAATTGTGCCCGGCGTTTGGGTGAACAGAATTTGGGTAATTGATGTTCATGGATGTATCCCAAATTTTCGTTGATTTCCGTAGTTTCCAGTGTTTCGGTGTGCGTAGGTATGTGAACCTATCCATTTTCCTTTGAACATATTCGCGCGGGATTTTCATAATCGTTCAGTGCTGTTGAGCGGGGGCAGGAATTCGGGCGTGACGTTTGTCCCTCGTTTATGCGTATTTCTATGTGTGTGTTCGTGGTATTTCCTAGACTTACAGTGTCGGCTTCGCGTTTGAAGTGTCTCTGCTTCTCCTTCTCAATCTACCTACCACGGTTAAAATGATTAATTGTTCCATACCATCTGAAGGAGTCGGATATCTGGTCATTGCTTCCTTTGATGTGTGAATATCTTGGCGTTGGTCTGGATTCAGGTCAGAATTATTAGCTCATAACTTACTTAGATTCTGCTCAGATTTGGTGTCATGATTGTAAAATTGTGTGTACTTCACCTTTTTCTCGTCTTCTTTCACCTATCCATTTCCGTTGTGTCTTTTTTTTTTCGTTTATTTTGCTTCATTTTTACAGTTCTTGTCCTTCCGTAAATGCCAAGAGCAATTGCGTAGGGGAATCTTGATGTTGTGTTGTGTTCCTTACCTAGGTACCTCTAATCTGTAAACAACTGTTGCTATCCCATTTTTCTAGGCCTGCAGAAGTGTCTAGCGCGTGCAGACATCGTAATTACTGAGAAAACCATTTTTAATTGTTTGAGTTAAATACAATTAAACAAATTAGGTACCATCAAAGATCTATTTTCCGAAATTTCTAGTGTTACTTTAGCACCTCCTTTTTGCACATTTTCATGAGCTTAACAGATTATTGTCCCATTCCAAAATCAGTCGAGACTTTAGGTATGTATTCGGGAGAATGAGAGGGTTTCAGACTTCTGATTAAACTACCTCGAGTCGAGGTCTGTTAACACTCTTGATTTTACAGGTGGACATTTTTTAGGTTTTCAATCCTACTTGTACATTAATTAACGAAAATGATTCCACTCTAAAGAACATATTGCCTTCAATTTTCGGACAAGTCATCGATTCACTGTTATCATGATCATTTTTCTAACACTTTTTTACTATAGGCACTGTGGTATATCACACCTATACAACAACATGATTCCTTCTCCTCCCCTTCAACGCTCTGTGGTCCATGGAATTTTCTTGATAAAGTTCACACTGAATATTTTTTGAGCCTTTTTTCCCCGATTTGATTGGGGAACCAGATAAGTTTTATTACAGCATAATCTTAGTCAGCAATATCCTTTTTTGAGACCGGAGTCCGATTATTTTAATTTGCACCTAACCCTTGATATTCACCCTTCCCCGTCTCTTTTGCCACCAAGGTCGAGTCGAAAAATGTTTTAACCTGGGAAGTTCCAAAGTAGATTTTCTAGGTACATGTAATTAAAATAATATCGTATTCAGTCTTCTCAGATAATCTGCACAGCTGAAATTAGCTTTATTTTACCAGTATAGGTACTTTTATATTTTCTCATTTCATCGTATATATAATGACAGAACAAATCTTGAGATGATTCCTATGAGTATTGTTAAAGTGAGTTTAATATCTTAAAGCTTTTTATTTGAGTGTCCTCTCTCGTCGACTAGACCCATCTGGTGAAATTGAAGAGAGAAAAAGGAGGATAGATGAAGGGGGTGGAGCGAGAGAGCAAACATCTACGCCCCTCCAAAGTCACAAGAACCTTGCCTTAATTTTGCTTACGGCCTTCGGTACGGGATAGGAGCCTCAAAATGTACCTCGATGTTATCCAAAATTCCCAGATTTCCTGGAGCAGGCCCTCCGAAACTTCTCGTTGGCTCTCAGAAAAGCAGCCTCCCCCCTCCCCCCCGAAATTTGATCTTGGTACATACCAATGTTCATTCTTATCTTTCCTGATTTCTGAATACATTTCTTTCGAAATTTGAGACTAATGTGTCGAGAGCCATTTCAAATAAATCCTTTGGGAGGGGGGGGGCAGGTTAGGTTGTTCGGAGGTGGCGAAATATGCCGCGAAGAAAAGTCTCCGGAATATATATAAAATGCTTAAAATTGTTCTTTTAGAGAGAGAGAGAGAGAGGGGGGGGGTCTTCTTACTCCTTTGCCCCAGCCCCAAATGACTCCCTAGAAAAGTGCGAGTCGTAGTAACTTTTTTTAAATCATGTTGAAATTGATGATTCTAAAGCCGAACGAGGTCACCCCTTGCCCCGCCCGTTTGAATAACCATAATTTGCTGTCACGAGAAAAAGTTATTTTTGTCAGAAACATTTGTCCATGTCCAAGGAGATAAGACCAAAGGAAATATATCTCCATTAGATTATTGCTTTTTTAATTTTGTAAGCATGCATCAATACTGCCGTGCTAAGTAAAAACGCCGCCTGAACCTTCAGGCGTAGCCAAATCCTCAACGATGAAATGCGAATTTATGAGGAGAGTAGTGGCTGTTATTCTGTCAATATTTTTCGCAGTTCACTCAATCTAAAATGTCTGAACATTTCCAAGAGAAATAGGCGTAACTTTCTTTAAAAATTAATGTTTTATCCGCAGAAATTTGGCAATTCTCGAATGTTCATACGGCGTTCTTCCTCGGCACGGCAGAAAAGAAAGAGGATTTTCGTTAGGTCCGAGTGCAAAAGTGATTTCTTGTCAAGGAGAAGGGAGCAAAAGGGTGGCGGGAAACGACGTGAACCCTCTCCGCTCAGCTCACACCTGTAGCCGTCCGAACCGGATGCGTAGGCCCTTTCTCGGAATCCTTTCAGGCTCCGCAGATTTCAGCCAGTAGTTCCAGACATGCGACCCCACACCCTTCCTCATCCAATCGTTCGTTCATAGTTTGCCGATGATAACGCATTGGTTTTCCCCAGCTCAACCTTCCTTCTAGTCTCCACGGAGTCAGATAAGAAGCGATTTAATACTTCTCATTCCCTCTCCCTCCCCTCGCCTCCTTCCCCCTTTTCCCTTCTCCCCTCACCCCTCTTCCTTTTCCTCGTTTCTATTCATCATGGAATGGCACTAGGATTTTTAACACTTTAATGGTAGCCCCACCCATTCTCGTAGGTGCTTTATAAGTCTCGCATGTCTTTATTCTCTCCCTCAGCCTGTTTCTTTTTAGCATCCCACAAAATTAAATCGTTCTTGACTTTGTTTCTTTCCTTTCCTGTTCTTTTCTTATCTAATCTTCAGTGTTTTAACTGTTTAAAAAAAAATTAACTTTGAATTACCTAATTTATTTAATTAAGTTCTTGCATGTGTTAGGGATTTGTGATTTAAGGTGATTTGACGGACGCCATCTTTTGTGTCAGAGCGAGGTGCGATGTATCGTATCGATTCTTTCCATAATTTCAGCTACTTGTCATTTTTTTCAAATTTTGAGGTCGCGCCTCTGTTCGCATAGGAGACTACCAAAGAATACATGTACCGAATTTGACAAAGAAAATTAACGTAAGGCAGGGGTTTTTTTAGAGGGAAAATATCGCATTTGAGTGCAGTTTTGATAGCAGTATCGAATGCTATATTTTTCCTCTGAAAAAACCATGCCTTTATTACGTAGAATTTATTTGTCAAATTTGGTACATGAATTCTTTAGTCTCATGGCAACAGGAGTGCGATCTCAAAATTCGATAAAAAAAACCCAAGTAGCTGACATTATGGAACGAATCGATGCTATATATCGCACTTCGCTCCGACACCAAAAATTGCGCCCATCGATTCACCTTGCGTACTTTTTCATACTTCGAATTTCTTAAGAAGTACAATGGTGCCACCGATTTTCTCTTAAACTGATTCCCACGCTCAAAGAAGCTCTCAAAGTTGAGGCCGTAATGCAGGAGATATCACACGCAACGTTGAGAATCCACCTCTGCATCCTGTACTTTCCAAGCAAAGATAGGTAGCACATACATTAGTAGAGTTGTCACTTTGTTTGGAGACTCAAAGTTGGAACCACGGTAATCCTGCCAATGTATTTGCTCCTTATCTTCGCCTGGAATATTTGACTGGATATAGAGGTGGACTCTCATTGTTGCGAGGGGTATCCCCTCTATAATAGACTGAACTCGGAGAGCTTTTTTAGGCTTGGGAATTGATTTCAGAAAAAATAAGTGGCCCCATTGTGTTTCTCACAACATTTTACGCACGATCTGATGCTTTTATTGAGATCAAGAGTGGGTGAATATTGATACCTCCCGCGTGGGGATGTTGTCTTAGAAGGGGGTTGGTGGGGAACCGGGACTGAAGATGAATTAAGAGTGGTTTGTCGGACGGTCAGGTGGGCAGTTGGTCGAACGACCTATTGATCGCTTTTTCCCCGGGAAAAGCTATCGAGACATCGTTCGACCTATACTGTTCATCTGATTGTCTGACAAACGGTGAATGTGTGAAGTCTGTTCGATGTGAAGTTTGTTAGACTGTCGGGAGGGCAGTTGGTCGAACGACCTGTCGATCGCTTTTTCCCCGGGGAAAGCTTTCGAGAGATCGTTCGACCCATATTGTCCATCTGACGGGTTAACATACGGTGAATGTGTGAAGTTTGTTGGACGGTCGGGTGGGCAGTCGGTCGAACGACCTGTCGATCGCTTTTCCCCCGGAAAAAGCTTTCGAGGGATCGTCCGACCTATACTGGCCATCTTACGGTTTAACAAACGGTGAGGGTGTGAAGTTCGTTAGACGGTCGGGTGGGCAGTCGGTCGAACGACCTGTCGATCGCTTTTTCCCCGGAAAAAGCTTTCGAGGGATCGTTCGACCTACTGTCTATCTGACGGTTTGACAAACGGTGAGTGTGTGAAGTTTGTTGGACGGTCGGGTGGGCAGTCGGTCGAACGATTTGTCGATCGCTTTTTCTCCGGAAAGAGCTTTCGAGAGATCGTTCGACCTATACTGTCCATATGACGGTTTGACAAACGGTGAGTGCTTGTGGTTCGTTGGACGGTCGGGTGGGCAGTCGGTCGAACGAGCTGTCGATCGTTTTTTCCTCGGAAAAAGCTTTTGAGAGATCGTCCGACCTATACTGTCCATCTGATGGTCGGACAAACCGCGAGGCGTCACCTGGCTCTCGTCACACCATCAAGTTACGATCAGAAACTCCCATCATTGTGTGGTCAGCGATGACTTCATTTTGACGGGAGTGCGCTCGGAACTTTTTGATGCAACGAGTGCTCTGCATGATGATAGCCTGGGAGGCCGTTTTCCTTCATGCACCATCCACTGTGGGTACACTGCCGTCGAGTGGCAAAGTCTGCGGATCGAACTCCCGCCGAAGCTGGCCTGCAGCCGTTGAGTTGGGCGTCATTGTTGTGATATGCACGTCGCGGCGAAAAGGCCCGGTTTCCGCTCCGGGGGAGCCGGAACGGAATCCGGGTCAAACGGAACTTTTCTGGGG